ATCCGATATTGCTCATCGGGAACACGGCAGGTGAGCGTTGCCTGACTGTTTTATAATCCAAGTTCATCAAGCCACAGATCCCGTGACACCACTCTGGGCGTGCGTCTCGAGTTGCACCGGCGATTCTATGAATACTGATCATCTTTCCACAGCGCCAACAACATGTCCACTGGATTTACAGGATCTGTTGTCCTGACTCAGGATTCCGTCGGGGTGCGTTTTGAACCTGATTTTCGAGCCTGCACTCAGATATAGCCCGTCAGCACTGTTCCATCTCAGGCCCCTCGCCCTGTACCCAGCAGCACGTCCGAGCATATTTCCAGAACGGCACACTTCCAGAGCCAGGGACAGTGTGCAAAGTCATCGAGCAACCATTCTCGAAACCATCTGCAGCTCACGGTGGCGCTCAGGCAGAGTTTCGGGTAGATGATGAACTGGCAGCGGTATCACGCGAGCTCGCCAGAATCCCCTGGTAGTTTCTCGTTCGAGTGTCCGGAATGAGGTTCTAGTAAGTATTCCCCGAATGACAGCACACAAAATGAAGATCCGATGTGAGCGCGTGAGTCCAACGAATTCGCTCGATAAACACGTAACTTGCACGCGAGAGAAAATCGACTTCAATCCGGTCATTGACTCATACTTACTGCCAGAGAAAGTCTCCAAGTTGCGAAATGGCTTTCAGACGATTGATGTTTTAGAATGAGTAGGGGACGGGCTGAATTAGACAGACCTCGTGACATGTGTTTTTTGTGACAGAAAGTGACTCTGAACACGAAATAGTGATACTAATAGCTCATGAAAGCATATGTACACGTTGTGGCAGAACGTCGGCTTAACCTTCAGATCTAAATTACCTTATGCTGTACACGTGATGACTCATCCCGGACACGTGTAGTAACCCGTCAGCAATTTGCCTACATACTGCCATCCCCCGGCGCAAAAGACGGTATGGATGAAAGCCACCGCGAGAACCGTTCTCCCCGTCGACTCGTCCTTCCACCCGAAATTTGGGACTGCGTTCTCTCATTCATCAACTCGTCCTACCCAGCGACGCTACACGCATGCTCTGCCGTGTGCCGCGCCTGGGTGCCAATGAGCCGGCGCGTGCTGTACGACCGGGGTGTGAATCTGTCGCACAAATCGGCCATGCGCTTCGTCGACCTGGTCGCGCACCCGCTGCACACGTTCACGGGCATCGTCAAGCTCAAAGTGTTCTACGTGAACGGCAACATCGCGCTGCTTTTCGACCGGCTTGCGATGCTGCCCGCGCTGCGCGAGTTCTGGATCTGGCACGACTCGAGGATAGAATTCGAGGATGGGACGGGTGGGATGGGACCCTTCGGCTTTCCCTGTGTGAAGAGCGTGGAGAAGCTTGTGTTGGTGGACTTTTCCTTCAAGACCGGTGAAGACGTCGTGCAATTCGTCGTCCGGTTCCCACGACTGAAATACCTGCGCTTGGCCAGAGTCGTGATTTTCGATGTGGACGCCATTCAGACGCCGCTCTCGATATCATTGGATCGTTTCGAGTTCTATGTGCACCATGCAGTCGATTTTGTGGCTAATGGTGCGGTCGAGATCCGCACAAGCGAGCTGGTTTTGGACCGTGCGAAACAGGCATCAGAGCTACAGATCTCTTTGTTGCAGCACTACCTAGACTTCCTCGATTCCGGGTTGAGCGTTCTAGAACTGGGTCCAAGTGAGTTCGCCTAAAAATTTGGTGTCCATTCCTGGTTGACGTCCAGGCTTCCCGCCGCATGCTTTACGCACGGGCACAAATACAGGCATTATTGCGCTCACCATATGCGAAATGCTTTCCATTTCCATGAGCATAGGGCAAAATGATAGACTGGGGGAGCTTTCCGTGGATGCGGACTTCATCAGCATGCTGATCCGACTCGGGGATAGTGGTCTGCGGATACAGTCTCTATCACTCGGCGTTGGAAGCACCCTGGCGCTGACGAAATATTCTGACTCGTTTCACGCGTTTTCAACGTTGGCGGTGCTGCACAAAGTGCAGGCAGTCACCCTGCGTGTCGATTGGGATGAATTCGAGTTTCTCCCTCAGGATCTCGTGATAAAACACGTCCTAGAGCTCATTCCCAGCTGCTGGCAAGATATTTTAGTAGTAATTTAGTGGGTAATGAAGTGATTGCGGGTAGCCGTTGCAAATTTGAGGAGGCTCAACCACCCATGTCTTTTACTCGCCCGATCCTCTTGGGGTGTGAAGGCGATTTGTAAACCTGTACAAATTCTTCCGAGCGACATGACCCAGTCGCTCGCCATGCCGGAACTGAGGAAGGCTTAACAAAATCCAAGTGCGAGAGTGAATCTTGTCGGGTTCAACACGAAGGGATCGACGCGAGCAGGACTTGAACCTGCGCTCGGAAACCGAAACAGATAGCGTGCATTCGAATCTGTCGCCTTAACCACTCGGCCATCGCGCCTGTGACGGACTGTGACATGGCAAGCTCTCTACACGGAACTCTCAAGTAATGTTGACGATCAACGCCTACTTTACAATACAGATACTACGGAAAATGTACCACGTATTTAGGACAAACAGATCACACCTATCAGTACTTTTTCCGCTGCGAAAAAGTGATACTGTTTTTCACGACATCAAACGTCGCAACGACGTTGTGCAAAAACACATCGCCCCTGGTTCCAAAGGTAAGAAACATCAATGGGATCCGGTGAGGCAATGCGACGCACAGGATGAAGATATCGTTCCCAAGATCCTCGCCGCCAGACTGGGTCCCAGACAGACACACATCTTCTCCGGTAACGTTATCGGTGCCTGCTCTGACCACCTGATCTCTCGGATCGATGGAAAACGATTTGCCAGCTAGCACAACCGAGAACGGGGGCATGGTGGCGTTGCACGGGACATAGTAAGACCCGTTTCGCCACGTGCCGATATCCGCATTGTACGCCTGTGCCACCGGGGCGGCAGGATGTTCAGTGTGGTTCCCGAGTCGATGATCGTATTGTTGTTCGAGGAGCTCACGTTGGCGCTCTGAGGAAAGACGTACTCCTGAATGTCAACGGCGAAGTAAGAGAACGGAGAGGAGCTCGACCCTGATGGAGAAACGGCGTAGCCTTGCACGGGTACAGTGACATTAGTGCTGGTGACGGGCACAGGTGCGATCCCACCGAACGAGAGGTAGCCAAGGTGGGGCTCGGCGTTGGAGTGCTCCCCACGCGTGGTGCCGCGGTTAATGGCCAGAGAAAAGTCTGGCGGCGAAAATGAACATAATGTTAGGTGAAAGGAACAGGGACGTACATGAATGCATCGTCTTATGCTGCTTGACAGCGCTGATGAAGAACGGATCGTAGGACATGACCGGACCTTTGGTGCCATTCCGTACGCTCGTCAAGGCTGGGTACGCGAGTCCCAGCAGCCCGGAGCTCAATCCGTCACCGCTCCAGGAAGCTTTACTGACGACACCCATCTCTTGGCTGGAAACTTCCAGTATAGTCAGCTTCATAACTCTGTGCAAGGCCGATGACTCACCTGAGAGCCCTCCGACATTCACGGTTTCGTACATCGCCGCGCCAGACTACTTCGACATGAGAGCCAAAAGGTAAAAAGCAATTTGTGACCCACCATATACTCCCCATCCCCATACACGATCGCGAACGAGCTGTTTGGAAACGCCTTGAAAGTCTTGGACTCTGTTTTGTTGTATGTCGCTGCGCCAAAGTTGCACCCGGCGGGCGGCTGGGCTTGTCCGGATTGGTTCAGACAGACAAAGTTGTCCTCGATGAGCCACGTGTCGGAGCTGCGCCCCAATTGCATTTGAGCGTGGCCTCCCGCGACACGGACTATGCGACGTACCTCCCGGTATCAACGATCGCGTCGAACTTCTGCCCACCCACGACGATCTGAGCCAGGTACTCCATATCCAGCGCCGGCCCGTGAGAGAGACCTGTGGGATCGTCGCTTTTGCCCCGGATTGCGCCGCGACGAGATGGCTGAGCGCATGTGTTTTGGCCTGGCGACGCGGGGCACTGGCGTGGAGCGGGGCGGAGAAGACAGCTTGGGGTAAGACTGCCGGTGGAAGATTACGCTCAGCACCAGGAGCGGGGAGATGGCGCATAACATCGTAGGATGACGGCGGCGGTGGCAAAGATTCCGCGACACGAACGCCTGGACCGGGCGCGGCGGACACGAGGAGAGCACTGCAAAAGAGCGAGACGAGTAACGAAAGGAATGAGGCGGAAGACATGAGGAAAAGCGAGCGGTGGTATCAAAGAGGGAGTTGTAAGGGGTTCCATTGGAACGCGGAAGCCTTTATGCGCGGAGCGAGAAGCAGTACTTCTAAGCTAGTACGTATGCAAGTGTTACAGGGATTTCAATGGCCGTCGATGCCTTCATCTTGGCGTGCTTCCCTCGCTCTCCGCCGTCGTGTTCGGAAAGAGTCGTATTGAAGTAGGCGAGAATGGAATGTACACTGCAGTGCGACAAATTCAGAGACTTCGAGTCGTATGAAGATGTACCCAAGTCACAGTCACGAAGATTCCATCAGAGGCTTGGTGGCTATGCTCTTTCTTTCGATTTTCACTCGCAAGCTTGCTGGGTAATTCAAGGTAACAAAAAAACAATCAAATCAAGAAACAAGTATAGATGTCGATCACGCGCATGGCTGAGAAAATAGCACTTCCTACAGAGCTATACGGAAACTGTACGCGTGCTTCCAGTCTCTGCCTCGAACTCAGTCTTGTGTGTCGCGTCTCACATGCCCACTCTCAGTGTGGGATACCTCTTTATCTTCCCTCCTCCACGGTTTCCCGCTACTCAACCTTTCCCGTCAATGATAGAAGCATGCGGAGAGAGAAAAAATTCCAAACACGACAACTGATGGTATTTCTGGAGGTGTTTGCACACGGTGCGCACAGATAAGGCCCTCTTGCGGACCCGAGACGAATCGGGATCCGAGCGATAAGTCCTTTAAAGAGCGGACTTCAAATGGGTGAGTGCGCTGTGTGGCTCTAGGAACATGCGTCTCGTCAGCCTAGCCCAACTCCTTCCCAGCATTTTACTATTCAGCTATGCCCTCGCCGCGAAGTCCTCAGGCCAGATACCAATCAGGGACGGTGTGATTGGCGGGGTCGGCAAAACTCCTGCGCTAGAGGCCGACCGACCCCTCGAGCTCAATGAGAATCTTTCCCCGCTGGTGACCCCCGGTGCGCTCCGTGTCGTGGAAAACTCTGGGGTGTGCGGTGGGTTATAAATGGGCGCCACGACAGAGAAGCTCATCGATTTACGATAGAGACGACTCCTGGCGTTTACCAGGCCTCCGGATATGGCGATCTGTCAGCTACCGAGAGTATTTTGTGCGCCAGCCTTTTCTTTCGCAGTGTGACACCATTCTGACCGCGGACGCAGCTTCTGGTACTTTTCGTCGCGCAGCCCCAATGCGTCTGCACCTCTCACGCTGTGGTTCAACGGTGGGGTACGTACACCACTCTGTCGTTTTTGACGAGTCTCTGCCCTAATAGTATACCTCTCAGCCCGGAAGCTCTTCGATGATCGGATTGCTCCAGGAAAACGGCCCGTGTCGAATCACCAACAATTCAGCCTCCGTCACGCTGAATCCGTTCTCGTGGAACACGAAATCGAATCTGCTCTTCATCGACCAACCTGGGCGTCGGCTTCTCGCACGGAACGACCAGCGTCGGCACCAGTCAGGCAGCAGCTCAAGACGTGTGGTCCTTCCTGCAGATCTTCTTCAAGGACCCGCGATTTGCGTCGCTTGCCACGCACGATTTGGCCATCTGGACCGAGTCGTGAGCCGTTTCTGTTTCGAGCGTTGTCGATGATGTCTCATGCGAATGGGCAGCTACGGCGGGCACTACGGTCCGACGTTTGCCGCCTACTTCTTGCAGCAGAATAAGGCGATCGCCGCCGGAACCGTTAAGGGACTGACCCTGAACCTCAAGACATTGGGTATCGGCGACGGCTTGACGGTCTTTGACTTCTTGCAGACTGGCTTGCCGACTCTAACGCTGTCCCACTAGGATCCGATCACTCAATATCCGGGGTACCTGACCTACGCGGCGTCCAACCCGTATCACCCACTTGTCTCTGCCACCACGATCTCAGCAGCAACGAAGGAGTATAACACGGCGACCACAGGGTGTAAAGCCCGAGTCAGTCTTTCCATTGAGACTTCCTCTCCACTCTCATGAACAGTCAGATCACGGCTTGCAACGCTGGTGGCTCAAATGCGGTGTGTTCTGCGGCTCAGAGCACGTGCAATAACAACATCCTGTCCCCGCTCGTCGGAAACTTCGACGTGCGTGTTGCTGGTTACACGTCTGTCTCTCTCGATGCTAATGATATGATCCGTAGGTGTATTACATCCTATCCGGCTCCAACGACCCGTACCCACCCGACATCTCTTCCTTCCTAGCCTCAGTCCGCACCAAAGTCGGCGCTGAGGTGACCTGGGCGGAGACCAACAACAACGTGTACAACAATTTCGCTGCCACCGGGGACTGGATGCGCAGCTCACTGCCCAACTTGGAGACAGTGATCAACGCTGGGGTCAGGGTCACGATATACGGAGGAGATGCCGTGAGCTTCATGGGGTTTTCCAAGCACCTTATTATCAGGCTAATGAATCTCCCAGGACTATATCCTCAACTTTAATGGCATTGAGAACATGGTGCGTGATTCATTGCCGCAGTGCCAGTACTCGATTTTGGTGCTCAAAGTTGTCCAGATCGCGTCGATGAACAACCAGTTCAGCGCACAGATCAATGCTCAAGCATTCAAGCCATTCACCGTCAAAGGTTGCTAGCCGGCCAATTCAAAACCGCTGGAACATTGTAAATGCCATTATCTCTAATCACTCCAAGGACTTCACTCATATGTGCCCGTGGCAGCTCCTATGTGCGGATCTACGGTGCCGGACACGAGGTTCCGGCGTACAAGGTAGTCATCGATCTCATCCCATGTTGATTTGATCATTTTTGATGCGATTTCAGAACGGATCTCTGGCCGTGGGTCAAGCAGCCTTCCAACTGTTTGACCAGACCATGTCCCAGCAGCCTCTCTCGGCTACCTAGATCAAACGTCTTTTTTCTGCAACCCACGAGTTTCTTGTCCGTAGCCAAAGCAGTTTATGTCGCGTTGTAATTTTAAAACCAAGATCACCTGATTCGTGGTTCAACTGATCACGCGGGTAGTGACTCTGAACTGCTCATGTGATGTGTTTACAATTTGTGATGGCTGTTCAATACTCGGTGGGATCGATCGATTGGTTCTGTCATTGGACTGTGAAACCAAAGTAGAATTATGAGTTCTTCTCAGACTACACTCTTTCAGAACGGTCCCATATATGACTTGCCAAGAGCGTTCGCGCCGCATTACCTGCACATTTTGACATGACCGCGATTGCCGATCGATGGTGATTGCGTAGATGAGACAGTGATATCTGATTACATTTCTTTCCCGAGAGCTTGTTACTTTAAAGCTTATACATTGTATATATCTACACACACTTGAAGTTGGTGATCTCAAGTTATGTCAGCATTTCCATCAGGACCGTCAGCTACGATCCAAGCTCACCCGATCGTTCCAAGGGCTACTGGTCCCCAGTCCACCAGTCGCGTCTCCAGGGCTTCTGAAGGTCCACTGGGCCTCGCTGCAGCTGTTCTGGCTATACGCTAAGCCTCTTGATTACTATCTCGCCCTAGCAGACAAGAAGAAACTGAGATGCATACCGAAGCAAGTGGCGCCGGCATCGGGTCCAAAGCTCGAGATGGTGTTGTACCACGGCGCCGTGAGCGCGATGCACGCGCCGAGTTGCTGCACGGCGTAGCCGCACTGCCCACCCCAGTTGATATCGGTGCAGATGTAGACGCCTCCCGGAGTGCGAGCCTGCAGATGCCCGGTGATGAGTGTTTGACCCCCCAAAACCAAGTTACAATCCGATTTACCTGGAGCGACGAGCGCTCGACGTTTTCGAGGGGAGTCCCGATGGCCGCAGAGTCGAGGACGCTTCCGTTCCAGCCAACAGCGTACTTGCAGTCTTTCTCCACGGGGGAGGCGGAGACAAAGGCGCCGACAAGAGCAATGAGCTGGAAGGAGGTTGCAAAGCGCATCTTGTGGTAGCCACTGACGGTTTATCCCCAGTAACAACCCCATAGCCTCTTATTTATAGGGATGCTAAGAGATTTCTACTCAGGCCGGAAGGACCATGTGGGCTTGTGGATCAACAGGAATCCGGGCGCGAAATTCATCCCCGCCACCCAGCCTGTCCTCTGCGCACCGATACTGACGGAGTACGCACTTAGCCACTGATATTCCAGTGTACAATCTCTGTGCGCCAGAATCTATGGCGGAGACACTCGGTGTTGATGAGAGCTTCGAGGCTCGAGCTGCCATCTTGACTTCCCCAGTCCTCCATCAGCGTTCGAATGACCTGCGCCACGGAATTGAGCTGCCCGCTCGCTGTCAACGATAGAGTATTATCCCGATATGTGAATCACTGTGCTATACCTAGGGAGTACCGCCAGTTTCTTCTTGGCAAGAAGGAAGCGGAAAATTTGGGGGGTATCGGTCCCTGTGGTCTGTTCCGCCGAGCGCGGCGTGTCATAGAGTCTGGGGCCCTGGCGCAAAAACTGCGACAAGGAAACGTGCCAGTTCAATTTCAATGTTCAAATTACTAATCTCAGAGAAATATCGCGCTTATCTTGGGCCAGACACGGGGTTCTCAGTCCCGGCAAGTCCCACTCTTTTTAGCCAGTGAAATCAATGATGCGTATCAGGCGCGTCAACTGATGATGGGTTTGATTGATGCGCCTCAGATTGAGATCCATGATATACATTTGGTCAAGCACAATAAGCTGTCAACCACGTGGCCATTCACGGGCTTCATTCACACATCAAGGTCTAAATCCGCCTCTCCCTGATCCTGACGCGAGCTCGCATCCGAGTCGAAATCGATATTCTAGCCAATGGCTGTGTGCGCGTCCGAGTCCGAGTCCGATGACGCGGTCGATGTGCGGATTTGAGGGCCACTCGGAAGCGAGTGACACAACAAACGTTCGGACCGACACGCCAAGAAATTTTGTCTAGTCTCGATAGATTGATGCTGAAGAGACTGGGAGCCGTGATTGACGACCGAGGCGTACGAAGTCGCACTGCGCCGAGCTGCCGATGAATAACGCAGCGCGTCATGGCCAAGTTTTGGTTCCAGGGCGTCTGATGCTGGTGCCTTCGCATCTAAAATGAGCGGGATGGCTAAAGTTGAAAAAAAAAGACAGCTCACCGCCCACAGAGAGAACCGGTCAACAAACAGCGCGTGGCCCCAGCCACAAGCATCCATCAGCTGCATCCGCTCCTGAAAAAATGGCCCAATGAGTGGGGTCGATCGCGGCTACAGTTACCAAACGGCAAACGCACCTTGGAGTCAAATGGGAGCCGAGCATATTGTTCAGTTTCGATGCCGCGGTGGCTCAATGAGGTGTTTGCTTGCATGGGAGCTGTGAGCGAGGTCCAGGACATAATATGAGAGAGGTTACGCGTGCGGAACTCTTTCTCTGCCTCCCATCTTATATGTTCCACCAGTTGCGCGCTTTGACTCTGCCCAAGACCCTCTCATTGTTGTTACGTTAGAGCCCTTGAAAGCCTCAAGCCAGTTTTTGTGTCGCTTGGGCCTAAAGCGAACAATGCCTGACGCTGAGAAATGGCATGAGCGGTCGAGTTTGAGGAGCTCCGGTGGGACTCGAGGGTCATCGATGGCTTTCAAAGTGTAATTGTCCTCGGTCCGAACTCCGATGAGATCGCCTCTGCACTGTGGTCGATCACTCGTCACACATGCCAATCACGGATCAGGCAATCGATCAATGGCATCATCGGCTGATCATTTGATGCTTGATTCTCTCCCACTGCCACCCCATCCATGTGGTCTTCGAGAAGTTTATATTAGTTTCTGCTCAAAGGCGTATATTTTAGCACTTCTACCATGCTCCCAGCAGTAGCCGGTGTCAGCCGGTCATCTAATTCCTTATCTCTCGCCTGCAACCCCTTCCGGATTCGCGGTGTTTTTGCTACTCGGGTCTCCACGAAACGTCGATTCGCCCGCCCATCTTCCGGTTCTTGATCGACAACATACGGACGGAGAGTTTCGCCATTGGTTTGTGGGTGTGTTACCTTGTTCTCATCAAATGAAACTCGCCGTCGATGACCTGCGCTGATTTCGCCGCTTATCGTGAGAGGCATCCGCTCAGCCTGCCGTTCCTCGACGTCGGAAACCGACTCTTGTACGTCCTAGCTAGCTTCGTCCTTCTCGGCTCGTATCACAGCACATGCATGTAAGCGCCAAGACTCCTCGGGCCTGGACAGTTGGCTGGGTGGAGTTTACTGGGTGCTTCACCCTTGGGCTAGATGTTTCTTGTGATTCGGCTGACGGTCTTACAGCTGCGCTATTTACAGGAGCCAAGACATTCCTCTGTTTATATAAACCAGGTGGATGTGTGTTCCGCCCCCGTCCCCTGCCCACCGACCATGCGCCACCCCGCACTCGTCTTCGTCCTGCTGCGCTATGCAACTGCGCGCGCGTCACCCATCGCATTTTCGGCCGCTACCACATCCCACGTCGCGCACCCCGAGCTCTGGTCGGCGGTGTTCTGGCAGAAGATGTCCATCAGCGGCGCGCTGGTCCTCCTCGGTGGGGTCTTTGCTGGGTAAGCATTCGTTCGCTCTGACAGAGACTGGCAGACTGGCTGACGACGACGTGGTGCAGTTTGACGATCGCACTGATGGGTCTCGACGAGCTACACCTTCACGTTCTGGCCGCGTCCAGTCGCGATGCGAGAGAGCGTAAGAACGCTGCGGATGGTGCGTGTTATGTATCTGCTGACGTTCAAACGATTTATATGAGCTGGCAGTCTTGGCTCTGCTCAAGCGAGGGCGACATTGGGTTTTAGTCGTCCTCCTCTTGGCGAATGTCGTGAGCACTACTAAGACATCGCTCTTCTTGGCGGGAGCTGACTGGGATTGCAGATTATAAACGAGTCGCTGCCAATCTTCTTGGATAGCGCGGTCAGCTCTTTTTCTGGCTCTGCAGCTTAAACTCAACCTTCGTAGATCGGTGGCGGATTGGCCGCGGTGGTGATTTCGACAACACTGATTGGTGAGTTAAGATCACACGTCTTCCGCCTCTGCTAAGACTTCCGCTACTTAGTCATATTTGGGTAAGTTGCGAATCTAGAGCATTCAACCATGGTTGACCTTCATTTAGAGAGTGAGTGTTCCTTCCTTCCATGACGTCACGGAGCGGATCCCTTGGACATTGGCTCCAATGCCGAGCCACCGCTCTAATACAGCTTTCCTTGGCGAATACTGACACAACACTTAGAATCATTCCCCAAGCCTTGTCTGTCCGCTATGGCCTCTCCATCGGTGCGGCCTGCGCGCCACTTGTTCTTGGGATGATGTACCTCTTTGCTCCGATCGCTTGGCCGATCGCCCGACTGCTCGATGCGCTGCTCGGGGTGGAGGGCACCCACACGTACAACAAAACTGAACTGCGCAGTTTCCTGCAGGTTTGTCGGCGGCTCTCGTGTCCAGTGATCAGCAACTGACTCAAGCTCAGTTCCATCGAACTGGCGAGGAGCCACTTATGGATGACGAGATCAGCATCCTCAATGGAGTGTTGGAGTTGGGCACGAAACGCGTCGAGCAGCTTATGACGCCCATCCAAGACGTCGTCTCGCTATCTGCTGACGCCGTGCTGGATCACCAGATGGTCGAGAAGATGTGCGTGCCGATTCTCAGCGTCCTGTCGTCGGGGACTAATCCCGAGTAGCCTGATGAGCGGATATTCCCGCATCCCCGTCCACGAGCCCCACGATCGGACGGCGTTCGTGGGATTCCTCTTGATTAAGAGGGTGCGCAGACAGCACTGATCATGGAGACTCGAACTGATCCACAGCAGCTCTTGCAGTACGACACAAATCTTGGCTGGCCGGTGTCTAGAATTCCGCTCTCCGTGCTTCCCGAAGCCCACCCGACCATCAGCTGCTTCCAAGCCCTGGATTACTTGTGAGCACAGTTTGAATGGTAAAAGCGTTTCCTAATCATCGCCGGCAGCCAAACGGGCCGCGCGCATCTGCTCCTCATCAGCCTCACTCCCGGGAAACCTGGAGGTGCCATCGGTGTCCTGACGCTCGAGGGTAAGTCATTTCCTATTCAATGCAGTGGGCATCTCATACCGATCGCGCTCCAGACATCATTGAAGAGATCCTATCCGAAGAGATAGTCGACGAAACGGATCTGTACCAAGACAACGTGTCGAAAAATATGCTGATCGATTGACCACAGCTGCTGTGATGCGCGGGTTTGTTTTCTATTCATTTTGTGATATTGCCAGTCCTGACCGTGGATCAGTATCGTCGAACGCACGTCAAATCGAACGCGATTCGAGTCGTTCAGCTCTGCTGAGACCATTCGCCCCACCGAGGATTCGGCACTCGAAGTATTCATCGGCTCTGGGGCAATCACACCGAGATACAGGCCTTCGCCTGCGCCTTCAATACGAAGCATCCGCGCGCGTGGTAGTGGACTATGGCAGCACGATTCAATAACCACACTTATTGTCGGCTTTCGCAAGTCGATTGATTAAACGTCTCTAATGATCCATAACGAGTGTAAGTAGGTGCCTGTAAGTATGTATAATGTCGACTACGAATGAAATCTGATCAGTGTACATTATACTCTATATCCGGGGTTATCGCAAAAGTATTACCACTCAGTTGGTCTCATTTCTTCTTCAAATGCCTGAGTCCCTTCATCACATCTTGCATCCCCTTCTTCCCTGAGCCTTCGATGCGCCATTCCCCAGTCCAATTCACCTCCTGTCGACCAGAATAAAAGCCGGGACCATCAGGGTTTTCGGGCGTGACCCAGGCCGAGACCTCGCCTGTGGTGACGTCATACCCCCCCGCTCGTACTCCGTGTCACTGCTGCCCTCCTTCCTCCTCATCATCGCCCCGCCGAACGACCGCGGTGTCGGACACGGGAGATTCCGCGTCGAGCTCGAGGCGCAGCGGCAGCGCCGGCGGCGGAGAGCGAGGGGACAGCGGACTGCGCGAGCGCTTGTCCCCAGAGCGGCCCTCCATGCTCACGCCTCGCGCCCAATCGGCAACGGCGCTCGCGGGCGTGCGGTGCCGCGGGCTCGCAGGCGACGGGTCGGCGGCCCGGCGTGACTGATCGTGCGTGGGACGCGGCGCCGACGGGGCCGATGGGGTGTCGGGAATCAGCACGTGCAGATTCGCTCCGCGGTGGGGCGGCGGCGGCGGCGGCTGCGTCCAGGTCGACGAGCGGGCTTTGCGGTAGTGGGGGGCGCGCGTCGGCGTCGATGGCGCGGTGGCGGGTGCGGACGTCAGGGATGTCGTCGAAGCGGAGCCGCGGGCAGGGAGGGGACAGCGTCTGTGCTGGCGCTCGGCCGGAAGCGGGGTGGGTGTGAGGATTGCGCCAGAGGATGGGGCCGATGAAGCTGCTGGTCTAGCGACCGTCCCCTAGGGCCCAATGTATCCAGGATCCCATCCACCACGTGGGCGGCATCCCCTCCTCCTCCGTCTTGCGCGTTACTGCTCGAGTCCCCGCTGGCCACGGAGGACGAATCCTGCGCTTTTGTCTTCTCCTTCTTCTTGCGACTGAACCATGACTTGGAATGGCTTCCGGAGGCATTGGAGGACTCGCTGCCAGGCAAGCTGCTAACGCTCGAAACGGAGTGACGACGGGGCAGTCGCGGGCTGCTGAGAAGCGGGAGCGGCATAGGGAGCATGGCAGGTGGGCACCTGCAGCTTTTAAGGCGCAAGGAATAGGAGAGCGGAGAGGTTGTGGTGAGTTACCAACACGTAGGCCGAGGTTCCCACTGTAAGCGAACGGATGCAAATCAGAAAACATGGCGAGAAGCGTCGGCTATACCTGTCGGCCATCAGCCGCGCAGTTGGTCCTCGCTTCAGATGCCGCGGAGTGCGCATTTCTTGTATCGCCTTAGATCGCCTTCGGAGCTGTTCCTCTGCGGTGGAGAAGATGTTGATGGTCTCAAATCGCAAGTGCGAGACCGATCGCATGTCCTGGAAATTTCTGTGCTCAATGCAAAAAGGTTGTCAGGGTATATCATGATCAGCCTCAGGGGAATTGTCCTTCTCAGAACTGCGTCTGGAGTGTTCACAAAAAAGGATGAATGAGATGCCAGAAGAATGCAGTGGCTGGGTCGACGAATATAATATCTTTACTTTGCATTCCGTCATGGGTGCCTGGCGCAATGGCTAGCGTGTTTGGCTTCGATGCCTTCGTGAGACTACCAAAAGGTTACAGGTTCGAGTCCTGTGGTGCTCGCTTTTTCCAACACGTTCGCAGTCTATCCATTCCTGCACTTTATCTTTCCGAGGATCCTTCGGGTCGCCGACTTGATTGCAAGAAGCCACAACAGATGTAGCCCACCCCAATTAGCTAATATACGTTCAAGTTCTATATACGCAAGGTCTTTGAATGCCAACAGAAAGTCTAATCATTAGGGCTACTAAGTCTCTGCGACTGAAAAAGTGCTAAGATGTTTGACCTCCCGCATGCTTCTTATCCCAGCGCCACATTCTGAGCAGGAAAATTGGTCAAAGGCAATCAGTCGACTCAGTGGGATTACTGACGAGCGTTGGAAGCAGAGGGACTTGGCCGGTCCGGAGAAACCACGCCCGCGCTATTCAAGTTCAGACCGAAATTCTGCAAAGAAACTGGAGTCCAACACTCACGATACACTTTCCCCGACCTTCGCTTCCGCACATGCTCTTCAGCCGCATCCCAAAAATCGCCCCTCCCCAGCGCCCTTCTGCCAATCCAGCACGCTCGAGAACTCTGCGAGCGCAACAAACCGCAGATCCACGGGGATCTCATGCTCGTCCTGCGGCATTGGGGGGAAATCAAAGCGCCACAGGAACGCCAGGACGACCAGCCTCTCGTTCCCGAGGATCACGCGCCACATGACGGGGTTGTACTCGACCGCCGCGAGGTGCGTGAGCTGCGGCAAGGACGCGGCGAGGCGCCATCGCTCCTGCGCTTCTGCGAGCTCGCCATGGCCGGTGAGGTTGCCGAACACGACGAGGTGGGTGAGGTTGTTAAACAGGGCCGGAACTTTGGCACGAGCTCTGTTCCGTCGAAGAAATCGAGGACGTAGGTGTACAGTCGTCTCAGGGGGAGTCTTACCAGGGACGGGACCGACGCGTATAGCGTGTGTTTGGGCAGAGTGTAGTTGAGGAGCAGGTCCTCGGTGTTGGGGCAGGATTCGAAGATGAAGTCCATGAACGCGACATTCACGTCCTTGAGCGCGAGATGCCGCACGGCTCGGGCGAGAAAGTCCGGTCCTTTGGTCGCATGTACACGAAAAAAAAAGGGAGATCGAGGGTGCTGACGTCAGGGAGTGGGCAGTTCCAATGTGATCATGCGATACAGACAGGCTCGACCCTAAGCTGTGAACTCGAATGTGCGGTGGTTATGGATGTAAGACGCACCACTGTTTCACGCGACGGGCTACCAGTATAAGGGCTGGGATATAGCGAGGAGATTGTGTTGCCAATTCGAGAAAAATGATTCGTTCGAGGTCCTCGGGCAGCGCCGGAATGCTCTCCACCGCGCTCATCGTACAGTCGGAATGGAGTGAGTCGATGATCATCGGGGTGCCAAGCATGGCAGCTGAATCAGCAACAGATATCTGGCATGCTCATCACGTGAATCCACGTTGGGTTTTGCTGCACAATTTCAGAAGAATCACAACTGGAATATGGAAGGGCGGGGGTGGAGAATTTCAGAAAAGTTTCACAGGTTCCTCATAATCCGAACCCTCGAACTGCCGAGAGAGAGAGGTTTGATTCCGCCAAGCCCTATTTATAAAATTGCCTGTCCAGTCTTGAATTCTCACAACCCAGTGAAACGTGATTTCTGTGTCACGGATCACACTTTGAACAGATTCGACACCTTTCGGAATCATCACATAGTAGCTCGTCACTGATCTCATCACAGCCTTCGCTGCTTTCTTCCCTCCTTCCGTGCTCCTTCCCATCGAGGGCAGTGTCCCAACAAATCCGATGTCCAGTAGACTCTGGCTCATCTCAGCTGATGATCCGCGAGTCATGACTCCCGTCTTGATGAGTTTGCGGATCCCCGTGAACATGAAACAGTTGCGATTGCTGAGTCGCTATCCACAGCATTAAGCATCGTGATCAGCTTTTTCATGCCCCGGATCCATCGTCAAATTCATTGTCAATCTCCCCCGTCTGACGGAGAAGCGCATTTCATAGGCAAACCTCCACGCAATACCGGTGCTCGCACTCAGTTTCAAACAGCTGGAACTCCCAACCTCGACACCGTCTGATGAGATGCGTGGGAATAAAGTTGATTCTGCAGGGGCTGAGAACGTGTTCGCCGCTTTGCCATCCCATTTAGACTGGCGTAGACACCTCGTTGGGCATCACAGTGCACTTATCTTCTTCTGTTCCCATGTTTCTCTCTCAACAACCGACGCCTATGCTGCTGGCCCCGGCATCCGATACCTCATGCTCCGATCATTCAGATCCCCCCGGTTCTAGAGGATCCTCACCCCCACTATATCGCCGCCTCCGATCCAACACGAATGGTGCAGAACGTGAACGAAAGCGATCGACCGCGGAGATGTTTTCGTACATGACTGAGCCGACGCCGCAACAGCCGCGCCCGATTATCATCGTATCCGCCAAGGAGGCGGTGAAGCGGATCCGGAGGACGACGAGCATGGGCGAGGTTCCGTGGGGACGCTATTCGCGGGGTGGGGAGTATCAGATGCCGTCGGAGGAGGAAGACATCGACGATGTGTGTGCGAATTGGTCTCACGCTGGTGGGATTATGACATTTACGGGTCGTAGATACTGGACGACGACGAATCCTTCGAAGCGGGCCAACTTGAAGATGATGGTGAAGCGGTATCCGAGGGGAAGAAAATCTCTCTGCCATTGTTCCGCTGTCCGTCGATAGCCCCCCGGAAGAACCACTATAGCGGCCCGTTTGATGTTTCAGCT